TGAACTTGTCAGAATTTACCATTCCTAACCAGGTCCTAAATCCAGCAGAGCCTCACCAGATAGCATAGTGCCATAGGGAAAGGTCTGGCATGTCGGTGATAGGGATATAGAGCAGCATTCAGGATTTGCCCGGGTCCTGCAGTCAGTGGGGGTTCTTGCTGCAAGAGAGTCAGTCAGACCAAATCAGAGGAAACGACTGGTTTCCTAGACTCTAGACAGGAGGCCTGTCCTGGTGTGACCTGCCCTCCTCATACAGGGCACTCCCTGCTGGCAGGGTCTGGTCCCACAGGTGGGCAGAGCCGGCTTGTCACGCTCACTCTCCTTCTTTCAGGAAACAGCATCCTCCATTCAGCTGCCGACAGTGTGACCAGCGCTGTACAGAAGGCAAGCCAGGCCTTGAATGAGCGCGGGGAGCGGTTAGGCCGAGCAGAGGAGAAGACAGAAGAACTGAAGAACAGCGCCCAGCAGTTTGCAGAAACTGCACACAAGGTGGGCCAGCAGAGGGGCAGGGTCTCAGCTCTCACTTGTCGGGAGCTACAGTGCCAAGAAACTTTATCTCAATATTTTCCATGATAGGAGACGGAAAATCAAGCTTTGTCTATTTCTACCCCCTTTATATACTTCCCATCTGCTTATGAAATGCCAGAGTCATGAAAAATGTCTTCTTGTGCCTGGTTTTGGTGTTTATCTCTTTTCTGATGGCCTAACCCCTATGCCTGACCTTTTGACCTTGGCTCTTCCGGAAATATGGATCATCTTTAACTTCTGCCCAGGGTTCAAGTTTCAGGGCACGGGATAAGGGTGGAAAAAAAGAAGTCAGGTGTTAGAATATCCCTTTCTGTTGGCCCACACATGCAGGACTTCAGGCTGCTCCCGTTTGCTTTTCCACCCTGTGCCCTGCTGTCCCAAGTCTAGTACCCTGTGCTATGTCTTCACCAGCTGCAGAGCAAACCCAAGCCCCAGAGCACAGTGCTCCTCAGGGGTGGGTTTCCTTCTGAGAGGGGCCAGTGGTTATTTCAGGGCCTCAGTTCTTTAACTCTAAGCTTGACTGGGGCTGAGCTGCCAACAAGCTTCTCTCTGAACCCCGAGAATGACGTCTCCCACATGACTGAGCGTGCACTCCACATTCACACAGTCACTAAGAATGTGCCTTTCAGGAGGGAAAAGGGGAGTTTTTATTGGCAGCCAGCTATCTAAGACAGTCACAAACCAAAAGAAACAGAGACCCTGTTGTTCAGGTGATAAAGAGGATTTATTACTGTTCTTGTGCTCAGATCAAAGGGCAGTTCTTTTCTGGTTGATTTGAATTTAGATTTCCAGAAACAGTGTCTGCTGATGCCTTGTGTTGGCATGTCAGACTCAGGATCTGGCCCTTCAGATATGCTTTTCAGGTGACCTTTGGGGAAAAAAATTAATTGGCTTTAACAGAAACCCCGCTTCTGCTGAGGAAACAAGAATGGATAACCTAAAAAGCAGTGAAGAAAGTCTCCCCAGCTCAGCCTCCTCTCTGGAGGCTCACACTCAGCTGGCTGGGATCTGACTCCAGCGGGGGCTTCCTGCAGCCCCTTTGCACAGACACGTCTGGCTGTCTCATTGATTCTCTGTTGAGAAAGGATCTTACTGCACTGCTGCATATGGGACCCATTTGGAGTAGTTCTATGGAGGAAAATAGGCCAGATCTGTCTGAAAATGCAGGCAGCTGTGCTGGAGGCTGGAACCTCAGATTCCTATGGTTGTTGTAGAGGGTGAACCCAGATTTTAGGTTTCCCTGATCCCTTCTCCCTTTGTAATACAGAGATACTAATGAAATGAAAATGCTAGGATTCATTATAAATGGTAAGCTTCATTTATAACAACAGGAACTTAAGTGATTTGAATGGGGGCCGGACAGTGGGAATCTGGGGAAACATGTGAAGTGTTGAGTTAGGCAAGAGCAGGCTGAAGGGAATAACTTCATAGCTGTCTTCACGCCCGGGAAGGGTGATAGTACAGGCTATTATCTTTCATGTCTTCCCACACAGAACAGAGCAATCAATAGTGCACTGATACAATTCTGCTAAAACAAGAGTTCAGGTTAATGACTAAACCATGAACCAGGTTACCGAGGGAGACTATGAAATCACTCTTCCCAGAGTGGAGCAGACAATACCTGGATGTCACCCATGGAGGCGTCCCTCTCAAAGGGGCTGTATAAATACTGGATTGGACAAACTAACCAGATGGCCTGAACTCTTGGCCCTGCGAGTCCTGTTTCCCTCATATCGTGGCCAAGTTTGTTAGGTAGCTGGGAAAGCAATATGACATAATAGTATCTTGCGTTTGAATCCAGCTCTGCAATTTACCATCTTGGTGACCTAAGGCAAGTGCTTAATTTCACTAAGCCTCAGTTCCTTCATCGGTAAAGTAGACCTAATTAATAATAATACCTCCCTCCTAGGGTGTTGAGAAAATTGAACGAGTTCAAAGGTCTAAGCACAGTAAGTCACACAGACACATTTGAATTGCTATTATTTGTAATTATTTCTGTAACCGTCCTTTCTGCTGAACCTGCCCTATTCAGTCACATAATGGGTGCCACAGAGGGGCTAGAGAATCCTTACTGGCACCTGAGTGTCATGAACATAAGGACAGGGAAGAAATGGAGGTGAAGATTTTTAGATCTGGATTGTGCCTTCCAGACTAAGGGAAAGTGGGGTGGGTGAGCTTCCCACTAAATATTGATGCTATGCACACACAGACCGAGCGGTACTCAGAGTAGAAACTGTTAGGACAGAAAGTTAAGAGGCCACTGAAGGCAAAGGAAGGGGCCTCTGGCTTGACCAGTGGGAGAATCTGTGCAGACAGTTACCTGATTTCAGTGGAGAGGGCTGAGGCAGGGCAGTTTGCATTTATTTTAGTTTCTCCTCCTGTAAGTGTTCTCAAGGGCAGTGCTGGGGTGCTGCTGGTATCTGTTAGTGTGTATGAGAGAGTATGAGAGAGATGGTGTCACAGCCAGACTTGCAGATTTCCAAAACTGGGATGTGTTCCCGTGAATCACTAGCATTGGCAATATTCCCAACCAGCAGGCTGACCTCTTTAGATAAGGTGTGGCTATTTTCCCAGGGACTGGAATTCCTGATTTGAACCTGCTCAGATAAGCAGGCCATGAAAAGGTCATTTCACCGGCCAAACCTGCTGGTGAGGGGAGAGTACAGAGATGGAATCCAAGCCCTTCCCCTCTGCCCCTCCACCCCATTCCTGGCAAGTGTGGCTCTGTAGACTCATAAAGAGAGGGCTGTGTCTACAAGTGGAGGCACTGTGCACACGGTAGAGTCCTGGACAGAGAACAGCAATTCCAGGTGACAGTTTCTTCCAGCTCCTGGTTAAATAAGGACACCCAAGCCTGGCTGGAAAGTATGGCACACATTTCTAAAAGGAGCTTTGACCCTCCAGCTTTTCCCAGGTCTCCTGCAATGATCCAGGAGTGAATGGATCACTTTTGTACAATGCTGCCTTAAAGATAATAAATATATA